CGACGACGTTTCGGTCCATCCTAGACCATTCTCAAGTCGATTGTGGTAAGCACAATCGACCTGAGAATGGTCCAGGACGGACCGAAACGTCGTCGTCCCTTTACTTTCTAGTGTGTGGTCTGGTCAGCATAAGGTTGGCTACATAAGAGTCGATTAGGAAGTTCTTAATTTCTCTTAAATTGCGTAAGGGAAGGTTAGTCTTTGATATAATTAGGGAGGTCATTCCCCATTTCGGGAACTTTCATTTTCAGAGCCTATCTGCTGTGGTTAAGTCGCACTCCTGGAATATGAAAAGGTATTTGTTTCTAGTGTGGTGCCCAAGGGTTCTCTGACAGCCCTGAGGTGGACAAGGACAGTCTCTTTTAAAGTGACAAAGTAAGCCAAGAAGACGCAAGTGGAAACTGGAGACCCAAATGAGTTTTTTTTCGGGGGGGGGGGGGGGGAGTAAAGAGGAAGGAGAGGCATGAGTTGAAGAAGAGCCTCTGACTCAGTACGGGCGGTCAACAGGTGGAATGCACAAAGAACTTGTGAAAGTCACGTCCATCCACAACTTTCAAGGCCACATTCGGCAAAAAAAATCAAACATTTGAAGAGTTAAATTCCACAGGTACAAGAAGGCTAGTATGAGAAAGATTTAGACAGTTGAGAGGCGGGCCTAAAGAGCCAGAGCTCAACCTCCGCAAGCACAACTAGGCGAGTACACACACACACACACAGTAATGATCGCGCTCAAAAGATCAAACAGCGAGCAGATAGTAGTCACAGGTGAAGAGTCTTGTAGCGTGTTGTGTGGCAGACCTTGATGACTGATTATGGTCTCCGGCTCCCAGTCATCCTCCAGCCCGGCAGTGGTGGCCACCCTACTCTCACCCCCCACCACCATCACCCCCCCCTCCACCATCATCACCATCACACCCCCCACCACCATCACACCCCCTCCACCATCACACCACCTCCACCATCACACCCCCCACCACCATCACCCCGCCTCCACCCTCACACCCCCCACCACCATCACCACCATCACACCCCCCCCACCATCACTAACCAGACACCACCATCACCCCCCCCCCACCATCACACCCCCCACCACCATCACCCCCCCTCCACCATCACACCCCCCACCACCATCACACACCCCCCTCCACCATCACACCCCCCCACCATCACTAACCAGACACCCCCATCACCCCCCCCCACCATCACACCCCCCACCATCACACCCCCTCCACCATCACCAACCAGACACCACCACTGTATTCTCATTCCCATATACACCACCATTCAGAACCTTGTATACCACATATGTAAGACCAATCCTGGAGTATGCGGCCCCAGCATGGAGCTCGTACCTTGTCAAGCACAAGACGAAGCTGGAAAAAATTCAGAGATACGCCACTAGGCTAGTCCCAGAACTAAGAGCCATGAGTTACGAAGAATGGCTGCGAGAAATGCACTTCACGACACAAGAAGGCAGAAGAGTAAGTGGAGACATGATCACTAGCTACAAAATTCTCAGAGGAATTGACAAGGTAGATAAATAGATAAACTGTTTAACACGGGGGGGGGGGGGGCGAACAAAGGGACAGGTTGAAACTGAATACCCAAATGAGCCACAGGGACGTTAGAAAGAACTTTTTCAATGTCAGAGTAGTTAACAGATGGAATGCATTAGGCAGTGATGTGGTGGAGGCTGACTCCATACACAGTTTCAAATGTAGATATGATAGAGCCCAATAGGCTCAGGAACCTGTACACCAGTTGATTAACAGTTGAGAGACGGAACCAAAGAGCCAGAGCTCAACCCCCTGCAAGCACACCTAGGTGAGTACTGTGTAAGACACCTGGCCTCTCCTTCATTACCTACAAGTGTCTCCTCGTCTCCTCCCGCCATCAGGTAACCCACAATTACCACCAATTAGCTAATTTCTCTTACGTCATCTCCCTCCTGCGTCCCGTTACCCCCTGGAGGTAACGGCTGGCCATGTCTCAAGGGAAAATACGCGAGGGTAGGCTGTGTTATGTGAGGCAAGGGCTGGAGAGGGGGCTGGGGAAGGGGGGGGGGAGGATGGTATAAGCCCAGGGTTAGGTGCTGGAACCTGTGCCATGGTTCTCCTACTACAAGATCCTACTAATCGTTCTCCATCTGGAGTCGCCAATTGCTGTTGGTGACTCCGGACTTCTGTTGTGTTGTAGTACACAAAGAACTGAGAGGAAGCAGGGGGGACCCCCCCCATACCGTACCACACTCTCCACCTCTGGAGCCTAGACCATCCATCTGGCTTGCGAGGCGAGGGTTCTAACCACTACACCACAGGGTGCCTCTGGGCGCCATGTTAGTGGTCAGGATGGGTTAGGTATTACCACTGTGCGGTGATGGGAATGTGGACAGTGGTGCCGGCAGGAAAGTAGGCAGGCAGGCAGGCAGGGTAGGAGAAGGCTTCCACCTCCCCCCCCCCCCCAGCACCAAGTACTTCAAGGTGGAGTCTTGGTGCTTCACTTAAGCCTCAATCCAGGTTCTGGCGGCCTGGCGTGCGATTGTATGGCGGGTGTCGTAGCCAATGGTAAACTGAGGTATTTACAAGTTAACTCACTTCGTTGAAGCGTCCACAACAACTCCCCGAGTGGTATGATAACGAGCACCATCCTCATAGTTACAGAGAAATGAAGACAGGGCGTCTACAGTCTCCCACAGACTGTCATGTCAGACTACAATAGTCGAGGCACCACTAGTCTGGCACCATTAGTCTGACACCTCCAGTCTGGCACCAGTCACAAATGTAGCCTCGGGCCGAGCTGCGAGAGTTCATCACAGGTAAACCACAAGTATTTCTAAACAATAACAATAAAAATATATAAATCGTTATATAAAACGTTTATTAAAAATTAGGCAAATAGATATTTATAATTCATATTAATTTATAATATCAACTAGCCAGTTGCAGCTGGACATCAATTTACTTAAATCTGCTCTCAACTGATCTCTATATATTTAAGACTCTGAACTGTAATGCCAATCCTGACCTTAAACGCTTCCTAGAAGGGTGCAACAGAACCACACCATGGGCACCACACCAGAAACAAATACCTATTTGATAGTCCATGAGTGCGACTTAACCAAACTAGAAATGCTCTGCAAATCAAGGGTCCCAGAATGTGGAATGACCTTCCCAATCTATTTTATAAGGCTGTACCCCTCTCGACCAGTTTAAGAGAAAAATTAAATTCTACCTAATAAACTCCATGTAACCTACCTTACCCCCTAAAGGGGAGTAGAAATAGCCTAAGCTATTCTATCCCTTTGAGATGTATTTTTTTCTTGTCTCAATAAACATACTTAAACTTGAACCCCCTAAATGTCAACACATGTATGTCTTGCTGTTTTCAAACAACACTGTTGACCAACTTGTACGACTGCTGTTTCCCGCCATGTATTTTTCTTTCCCCTCCCTTTTTTCCAACTCAATGTATGCTTTGATCTCTATTAGAATTAAGTTCTAGTCTAAGTGTTTTTTTCCCCACACCTTGCCCGAAACGCTGTGCTTAATAGTGGTTTTAGGCATAGTATGTACTAGCTCTATCTATAGATCAAACATTATGTTTGTTAGTTCACCTTGTATGTATGTACTTTACCTAAATAAACATTTGATTTGAACTAGCCAGTTGCAGCAGGATATCAACTAGCCATTTGCAGTTGGATATCAACTAGCCAGTTGCAACTGGATATCAACTAGTCACAGTATAACAGATTTAAAAATGAACTAATAACAGTAAACGAAGTTGGAATGAGAAACAGCGCTAAGTGCTCATTGTGTACCCCAGAGGTCAGTGTGTAACCCCCAGAGGTCAGTGTGTAACCCCCAGAGGTCAGTGTGTAACCCCCAGAGGTCAGTGTGTAACCCCCAGAGGTCAGTGTGTAACCCCCCAGAGGTCAGTGTGTAACCCCCCAGAGGTCAGTGTGTAACCCCCCAGAGGTCAGTGTGTAACCCCCCAGAGGTCAGTGTGTAACCCCCCAGAGGTCAGTGTGTAACCCCCCAGAGGTCAGTGTGTAACCCCCCAGAGGTCAGTGTGTAACCCCCAGAGGTCAGTGTGTAACCCCCCAGAGGTCAGTGTGTAACCCCCCAGAGGTCAGTGTGTAACCCCCAGAGGTCAGTGTGTAACCCCCAGAGGTCGTGTGGAATGGTGGAACCATAGTGGAACACGAGTGAAGGAACCATGGTGGCGTCAAGTGCGCTAAACATGGTGTGGCGGAAGGGCGGCGCCGCTGGCGACATACTAACGCCAGCAGCGCATGTCTCCCCGCCCGTTACCAGACACCACGCCCACACCACACCACGCCTACCCATACCACACATTAGACCCCACCCACACCACACTCGCGCCACAACAACCATCCACACCACGCCCACACACAACACTCCACACCCCCAACCCACACCCGGCTAACTCCACACTTCTGCTATTGTTATTACCTACAGGCTCCAGAGAGACACTCGACTCCTAAATTATTTTAATTCCCCTTTCTCTCTCTTGTTTTGCCAGATAAGAACAAAACAAAAACAGATCCTATCTTGAATATCACAGGAAGGTCGGGAAGCAATGCACTCTCCACAACATAATAGCATTATGCAACAGCCAGGCAGACCCCCCCTTTGCGTCTCACCAGGGGTCAACTGCTTCACATCCGGCTGATGTTTGTGAAGGTCACAGAGGTCACGGGTATACCCGGGATGCGAGACGCGACTGGACAACAGAGATGGTCGGGTGGCCTGTGTCACCTGGCAGACGCGTCCAGGAACCTCAAGCAATCACTGTACACTGTAGCACAAGCACTGTAGCACAAGCACTGTACAATGTCCCCATCAGACACCAATACGGTGTCGTACTTACGCTCACCCTTTATGTTTTCCCCGTCTACATTACTTTACACTTGTTGAGGTTGAATTCTAAGTACCTAGTACAAGGTGCAATACAAGAACACAATGGCAAAAAACACAGACCTGTATACTAGCGAGGGTAACGGGTCCAGTAAGGCTGTTGAGGCTGAGGTTGAGCGCCAGGGGTTGGTTGTCTTGGAGGTCGTCGGTGTCGTCGTGGGCACCAGGGTAGTGGTCGCCAGGGATGTGGTCGCCGTGGGTGGAGGGGTGATGGTCGTGATCCTCCGACCTCCCAAGCTCATCCAGGCCGGGTTCCAGCGCACCCAGGCCAGGCACAGCGCTCAGCTTGTTGCCCGACACATCCTGCAAGAGGGTAGAAAAATTGGTGCTTATATCACTGGAAAGTTTGCAAGTAACTTACACATCTGTAAAACTACGTTTACACACCTGGCTGCTTGCCTCGTAAGGACGTGAGTACTTACACGAACACAGAAAACGAAGAATAATGTAAGTCATTGGTGTACCACGGAGATGTTGACCAATCCACACACTAGAAAATGAAGGGTCGACGGTCCAGGACGGACCGTCGACCTTGAGAATGGTCCAGGACGGACCGAAACGTCGTCGTCCCTTCATTTTCTAGTGTGTGGATTAGTCAACATACTTCAGCCACGTTATTGTGACTCATCGCCTGCAACCACGGAGATGTCAGAAAGAACTTCAGTGTAAGAGCATTAATAAGAATAATGAGTTATACGAAGGAAAGGTTGTCACTAACTCGGTACACAATTTTAAATATAAATAAGAAAAACGAGAAAACAGTGACTGTATGCTGAGAAATAATGAACGCAACGACCACCCGCACCACGCCCACCCGCGCCTCGTCCACCCGCACCACGACCAACACATCACACCCAACCACGATCTACTACGCTAATATTTTTTGAGAACCCATTGCCCATCTTTGGGAGTGTACATTCCTACGTCAAGGTTGGTAGTTTCAACTCACAAATTGTTATTTTGAATCAGACTCGTGGTCCGTGGGTGTGGTGATCGGCTGTTTGCTGGTGGGGTGGGGAGCCTTGCGGCCGTGGTGCGGGCCGGTGTGATGGCGGCGCCTATGCCTCATGTTAGGCGAGTGGATACGGCTGGGCTGGAGTTCTCTGGATTTGCGGATTGGCCCGCTGTGGACGTGACGTTAGTGGATGCAAGGCAATGTGGCGGATGTCTGTGCTGTCCAGGTCTCTGACCGCCGTATCTTGGTAAAGTTCCGGTTTGCCGCGGTCTTCCAGGATTTCTTGCAGCGCTCTAACGGTTGTACCCTTCCGATGTCGGGTCTCTGACGGTCTCAGGTAGTTGTCACACTCCGATCAGTGTTAGTGTTCACGGTGCCTTGATTGAATTACCGGCGGACCTCCTGCAGCGGTTTTCTGGGAGGTTTGGGCGTGTTGTGTTCCACCAGGCTATTGTGCTTACCTCTGTTGAATGGGGTGCTGGTTCTGGCGATGCACCTGAAGTCTCCTGTCCAGTCATCTATGGAGTTGTTGGGGTACTCTCTTAGGTGTTATCAAGCTGGGACAAACCCGCACTTTTTCCATGCGGGTTGGCAGGTCATGTGGCCGCGGCGTGCCGTGCTGGTCCGGTGGGCAGGGTGAACCTCTTCCGAGAGAGTGAACTCCCCCCCTCAGGAGGTTCCGGAGGACTGCGTGTGTCAACGTAGGTACTGTGCCTGGGTCTTGGATGAGTCTGTGATGTCTGCGGGCTCCCCCAATTGGGGGAGAGGGCGTCGTGGAGGTAGTGCGTGTTGCCCCTTCTCCCTCCTCCGGTTGCTGTGGCTGTGGGCCTGGGGGCTGTGTCTTCCTCATCGGGGTGTGATGGAGAGCCGCTTGGTGCCTAGGGGTTGTGTGGGGGTACGTGTTCCTGTGGAGGTTCATGATGTGCAGCTCGTATTGTATGGTCCTATGCCTCCTGTCATAGGGGTGTTGCGTGGCCGTGTGGAGCGTAACCGTGCGCTGTTTCTCAGTGGTTCCGGAGGGAACGTGATAGTTTCGATGACTTGCGTCCGGTTCCTAAGCGAAGGCGGCAGGCCCTCAGTTCGTCTCCACCCGGTGGTGCCTCTTGGGCGGAAGTGGGGGACTTTGCGAGTGCCGAGGATGGTGATGAGGGGAATGATGGAACACGACAGGTGCACGACAGGGCCACAACAGGTGCACGACAGGTGCACGACAGGGCCACGACAGGTGCACGACAAGGCCACGACCAATCGCACTTTCATTTGCATTACAAACTTAATTTTAATTCCCACTGTCGGAGACAGGAAGCCTGTACCTAAATTTATCGAAGTTCCCTTAGGAGTTAACAAACAAAGGGTTAATGAAGTTCAATCCCAACATTTGTAAGGTAACGAGGATGGGGAAGGAAGAAAGGAGACCAGAAGGTATGTACACCATAAGGGGGGATGACAGTGGATATAACTACAGCATTAATATGAGGCGCACACATACAGGCAGCGTCCACGCAGCACCGCTCCTGTGCCAGGTAAGTCCGCTACGGGCTCACCATAGCCCGTGCTACTTGGAACTTATTCTGAGTAGCTGAATCTATAACAACAACACACAGGCAGCGTCACATAGCAGCATATGGGAAGCTGGCAAGGATTATAAAGTCGTTTACAAATCTAAATCTGCATTCTTTCAAGGCAACCTCCGCAGCTTTTGTAAGAACATTACTTGAACATGCGGCACCGGCCTTGTGAAGCATAAAACTAACATTTAAAGAAGTAGAGATGTCTGCAACAGGACTGGAACCAGAGCCAAGAGGGTTAAGCCATGAGGAAAGGTTAAGGGAACTATACCTCAACACTGGAGGACAGAAGGAAGATTATATGATCACAAAACACAAGATACCGAGGGGAATAGACAAGGTGGACAGACAGCCTCTTTAAATTGAGAGAAAAAGTGACGAGAAGACACAAGAGGAACCTGGAAACAAAAGAGTCGAAGAACTGTTAGATGACCACCGGTACGGGGGCTGACACCCGTACCTCGTACCGGTGGTCAACAAGTTGAAAGAACAAAGAAGTCATGGTAGCCAAAAAACTAAAAAGCCAGATGCAACAAAGTATTCGAATGTTAGAATAAGTAACCTATAACGCAACAGCCACAGCAAGGGCAAGTATAGAAGGGCATAAAGAACTATACCACACTTCTCAGTAGTCACTGACTGGTAAACACCTGCCTGCAGGAGACGAGAGGGAGGGGGGCGGCAGAGGGAGAGGACCCTGTAGGAGACGGTGACGGAGGTGAGGGAGAAGATGACACACAGGGGGGGGGGGGGGAGGAAGGGGAAATCGAGAAAGGGACATACGACTCACCAACGTCCTAAGCGCCTCCATGGTGGCCAATTCAGGGGCGTGGATAATGCGGTTATGAGCCGCCCTCAGGTGGGCGAGGGTGGGCAGGCCGCTCACGCCAGCACCCACGCCCGTCAGCTGGTTGTACGACACGTCCAGCTCCACCAGTCTGCGACACAAAGATGCAATTAATACCCTAACACACACCAACCCCCCCTACACACACACACACACACACACCCCCCCTACACACACACACACACACACACACACCACCCCACACACACACACACACACACACACACCAGCCCACACACACACACACACACACACACACACACACACACACACACACACACACACACACACACCCCACACCCCACACACACACACACACCAGCCCATCCTCCTGTCCAGGTACTACTTAAAGAGTAACCATGAGGACTATCGTACATATATTAACGTAGAAGGCAATTAAATAGTAGAAATCGGTACTACTGAATTTGGACAAACCGGAAAAGGCTTTGTATTTACGTTGCAAAGAAAACTTACCCTAACCTTCACAGGTCTAATATATGCCAAGCCCTAATATAGTTACTGGCCGAAACATTGTGTTAGTGGCTTTGCAAGAAAGTAAAACTATCAATCTTATGAAAATCTCACCAACCCATTGTACCTTCTTGTGAAAATTATCATCATTTTTATTATAGTACATATTTTAATTTAAATTTTGCCCCGAGGGGCGAGTTTATAGTACATACATGTGTTATGCTAGGCCTAGGAATATAAAAAAAAAAATTAGCTTTATTTTTTCGGACTTCTTATAAAGTGAATAGTACCAAATTCTACTATCCAATTACCTTTTACGTCAATATATACATTATGGTCCACGTGGTCGCAAAAAAAAAAAGAACAAAAAGTCATAAAACACGCCAGAAACGCTGTGCGTACTAGTGGCTTGAGGTACTGTATGTTCGTACCTCTATCTTTAAATCTAACAATGTTTGTACTGTAACGCTGCAACTATGTACTGTTTCTAAATAAATTATTATTATTATTATTATTATTAAGAATTATCTAAACTGGAGAATGGGTTGTATATAGTGAACACTCTTAAAAAAGACCGCCCTTGTACTAAGAGTCTAACAAAGTCATCACCTTTCTTCCAAACATTAACATATACCAGTTTAGATTTACTGCTAATGAAGAAAACGTTTTAAAACTTGTAGCAGAAGACAATATAAATGGCCACAGAACACGCAGATAAAATACTTCCTGGGATTTTAATTTAAAAAAAAATTACCGAAAACTCCTCTAATTAAGACAGTACGAAAGAGATAGAGGAGGCTAAAGTAGATATAATTAAAGCCACTGTATGAAGCTTCACTTTACGGGCTATTCATGCCCGTGCCACCTTTTGGGTGGCTTAATCTTCATCAATCAATCGAAGCTTCTCTGGTTATTTTGTTAGTGACGGCAGTCGATTGATGATTGATTGATGAAGATTAAGCCACCCAAAAGGTGGCACGGGCATGAATAGCCCCGTAAGGGGTAGCCCTTTTGAGCCATTTCCAGTATCAAGAGCTGATACTGGAGATCTGTAGAGGTGCGACTGCACCCTGCGTGACGGGAGATGTCTCCCGTCATCCACTGGTGAGGTGACCTGCGTGGTGACCTACCTGGTGAGTGGTGGCCAGGGCGTGGTGACCTACCTGGTGAGTGGTGGCCAGGGCGTGGTGACCTACCTGGTGAGTGGTGGCCAGGGCGTGGTGACCTACCTGGTGAGTGGTGGCCAGGGCGTGGTGACCTACCTGGTGAGGGTGGCCAGGGCGTGGTGACCTACCTGGTGAGGGTGGCCAGGGCGTGGTGACCTACCTGGTGAGGGTGGCCAGGGCGTGGTGACCTACCTGGTGAGGGTGGCCAGGGCGTGGTGACCTACCTGGTGAGGGTGGCCAGGGCGTGGTGACCTACCTGGTGAGGGTGGCCAGGGCGTGGTGACCTACCTGGTGAGGGTGGCCAGGGCGTGGGGGAGGTCGGTGAGGAGGTTGTGCGCGAGAGAAAGACGCGCCAGGGCAGGAAGACTCAACAGGCAACTCGGGAACTCCTTCAGTCTGTTTCTAGCTAGCACCACCACCTGCAGGAGACACATCTGTAGTGGAGGGAACACCTGCAGGAAACACATCTGTAGTGGAGGGAACACCTGCAGGAGACACATCTGTAGTGGAGGGAACACCTGCAGGGGAGACACCTGTAGCGGAGGGATCTGTGGTGCACGTCACACTCTGGGGAGAAGTTAAAAGGTTCCCTAGAGGCGAGGGCGTGAAGGAAGGTCACGGCTATCTTGAGGTTATCTTGAGATGATTTCGGGGCTTTTAGTGCCCCCGCGGCCCGGTCCTCGACCAGGCCTCCACCCCCCAGGAAGCAGCCCGTGATAGCTGACTAACACCCAGGTACCTATTTTACTGCTAGGTAACAGGGGCATAGGGTGAAAGAAACTCTGCCCATTGTTTCTCGCCGGCGAATCGGCGAGTTCCTGGGATCGAACCCAGGACCACAGGATCACAAGTTCCGCGTGCTGTCCGCAAGGCCGACCGGCTCCCTGAAGCCCTGACAACGGCTCCAGGTAATAGGGCCTCGTGCCGCACAAAGATACACCAGCCGAGACCACTGCTACACTGCACCACTGTGAGGTGACTGGCGAAGATTAAGTCACCCAGGAGGCGGCACGGGCACGAGTAGCCCGGAAACTGTGAGGTAAGAAAGTGCGTGTTGCGTAATCTTCAGCGTCGGGAGCTATCCGCCAGATATCCCAGTCCCCCCTTCAAGGTCGCCAGGCTGCCATCTATCGGCACATTACCACAAAACTTTACCTCGTGCAACCCACATCATTACAAAACGCAAATATTGGAAAACTTTTAAATATGAATATCGTTAGAATATTACAGCAAGAACAGAGTTTCTAATTTTATTATCTTAGAGAACGTTGTGATCCAGTTCTTAGTCCCATTATTTGATTTATACAGTGAACTATGCATATCTAGCTTATCCACACTAACTTGCTTCGCCAAATTAATTTTGCGTTCAGTTCTTGAGCCCATAATGTGCCTCTCTATTATTTTCAAGTACCCCCCCCCCCAAAGGATGGGTATGGGGTCAACTACTCCCCCTACAGGATGGGTATGAAGTCAACTACTCCCACCACAGGATGGGTATGGGGTCAACTACTCCCCCTACAGGATGGGTATGGGGTCAACTACTCCCACCACAGGATGGGTATGGGGTCAACTACTCCCCCTACAGGATGGGTATGGGGTCAACTACTCCCACCACAGGATGGGTATGGGGTCAACTACTCCCCCTACAGGATGGGTATGGGGTCAACTACTCCCACCACAGGATGGGTATGGGGTCAACTACTCCCCACAAATCGGGTATGGGGGTTCACTACCCCCCAAAGGATGGGTATGGGGTCCACTACCTACCCCCCCCCCCAACAGGCTGGGTATGGGGTCCACTACCTTTCACAAGATGGTATGGGGTCCACTACCCACCACAAGATAGGTATGGAGTCCACTACCACAACAGGATGGATATGGGTTCTACTACCCCCTACAAGATGGGTAAGGGAACCCCCCCCCCCCACACACACACACAGGATGGGTATGGAGAACATAATACACTAAATACAACTTAAGCGTTTTCTACTCATTCCAACATCGAAGAAAATACAAAATAAATGTAGATGTTTTAGGGCTTACAAACTCAATAATTAGAAAATGATTATATATATCGCAACAAATAATCCAAACAGTTAATTTAAAATTAAATTAGAGTTTCAAGACATGTTCTCATGCAAGAGTTACCGACGGAAACATAAAATGTGGAGCGATATATTCTGTTTACCGTGAACCCGATTGTGGAGGTGACAGTAATCCCTGGCACGGGAGGCCCTCACTCACCTCAGGCTTTTGTTTACATCGGGAGACATCTCCCGTCACGCAGGGTGCAGTCGCATCTCCACAGATCTCCAGTATCATCTATTGATACTGGTAATGGCTCAAAAGGACCACCACTCACCTTTTGGGTGGCTTAATCTTCATCAATCAATCAATCTTTGTTTACATTGCCATTGTGGGAGCCGTCGTCCTTATAGACGAGTGAACAGCGTCACTTGTGAATGCTACTGGCCCCTATCGGTGATTCTAGCATTAATAACGATGAATGTACCACATCGGGAGGGAGGGAATTATCACGGGGAAGAGCCAAACCATTACGATTATATGGCACTTGGAAGGGGTCAGGATAAGGATTTGGGATGGGACGGGGGGAGGTAATGGTGCCTAACCGCTTCAACGGGCGGGAATTGAACGCCGACCTGTATGAAGCGAGACCTTCGCTCTACCGTTCACCCCAAACTATGTACAGTAATTATTTTATCGTCAGCCTTCCCTGATTATTGTCTGATGTAGGCTGCGTGTCTCTCTAACCTTCAGAGTCACATAGTCATCACAGCCAGACTGATCTAACACTAGCAGAAACTCAACTTTCTTCTCCAAAGGTTTTATTGTTGTTCCAAACATGTTTCTTATATTTGTCGGCAGGAGTGTGAAGACGTGGGCCTCTGATGTGTACACTGTGTCCGCTGATCATGCTTGTGGCGCCCTGACCTTTCATTAGATCCACTCTAAACTTTCTATTGTGTGTACCTCACTCCAGTATGTTGTAATTTTACTACGCAGGTTTGGAATCTGTCCTTACAGTGTTTTTTTATGTGTATTTTATGATATATCTCTCGTCTCAAAGGAGCTCAGTTTAAGGTCAATGGCGGTTCAAGTACTCTAGGAGCTTCACTGATTATGTGTGTGTGTGTGTAGTGACGGATCTCTCTACATGCAGACGATGAGTCACAATAACGTGGCTCAAGATATGACTAAACCTCACATCAGAATCTGGGGAAACCACGACGTCTCGGTTTGTCCTGAACCATTATCATGACACGACTTTATAAGTGTCCTGGACGGAGGTTGACATGTCAGCGAAGGTTGACACGAAGCTGTGGGCACCGCTTAATCGTCAACATGTGGGGGAGGAAGACAACCCACCCACCTTGTCACCAAAGCTTTTTTGGTCAATATGAAATAAACCAACCTGGAGGGCCAGCTCCGACTATTTATCATTAACTGCATGACAGGTGCTGCCGTCACCCCGGGACCTAGAACACAAGAGCTGCGGAAGCTGTACAAGGCCTATTGGCATTTGCCAGACTGCTCCTATTGTCACCCAACCAAACTCACAAGTATCATTATCAACTCTTCTTAATGCAACCCTCTTTATATATCTTAATATGATGCTGTAAAGCAGTGCATGATGGCTGCATCACTCGGTCAGTCAGGTTAGGCACTATTGAGTTTAGCCAGTAACTGGGTGGGTGACAACGCATATAGGCTTGCTCTTATCTGGAAACCTGGATAAGTTTACCAGGCTGCCTGTCCCTAACAGTGGTATACTAGTACCCTTGATACTCTTCACAACTGGATCTGTACACACCTTGACTCCAAAAATGACAATGTAAATAAAAAACACATGGCCGCGTGACGTCACACTGAGAGGTTCTATTTAAGATAGACAATTAAATCATAAAATTAAGCTTGAACAATGTTCAAGGTTCACTTGTTCAGAAGAGCCCCGGGGCTCGGAGAATAGTTATATAACAAGTTCTACGAATCTTTGGTAAACAAACTCAATATTTTGTAACTCTTCTTGATTCTTTCTGCAATAAGAACAATTTAGTGCAAGTACTACTGCCTTTCAGATCATCATGAACATTCCACTGAAATCTAGAGTAGCCTGTGAGGGCATTAATCAGAAGATAAATGATGTTAACTGACCTGGAGTTGCTGGAAGTGTCTGAGGTGGTGGAGGGCGCCGAGGGTCCTGGGTGTGGAGGGGCTCACTCCGCCCCCTCCCTCCACACTCTCACTCTCACTCTCCTCAACACCAGACGAACTGCTGCTCTCTTCATGTCTACCTCTCACACCTTCACTCTTGTAACCCTGCCTCTCTCCCGCTGCTGCTGCTGGGTTCTCCGCCACATCTACGGGCGAAGGCTTGCTCGCAGCTGCTTGTGGTGTACCAGCATCAGCTGTAGTTGACCGGGTTCTGTTAACACACGCTAAGACAGTATGGTTTTCATTTACAGGCGTTCCCTCGCTTATTGCCTTACGCAGTCGTATTTTAGCTTCCAGCTCTTCTGCAATGCTTCCAAACACCGAATTATGTTTTTTTCCCGATTCGACACCTTGTACTGCCGGAGAGGCAGCGGTTGCCACCTTCGGCTCGCTAGGTTTGGTGTCGCCTGCCTGTGTGTCTCGGTCACTCCTGAGGGCCTCCTCAACTGGTTCAGAGGGCACTCCTGAGTCGCCACTCAGCACTTCATCCTCACGTGGTTGTCTAGACCTGCGACCTGTTTGTTTTAGTGCATCCTCCTCGCCTCCAGGTGGCCGGGCTCTAGTGCTGGAAGGCTCCCGAGCCTCAGCATGACGGCGGCGTCGGTCCCGCCGCCTCCTGCCACGTCCAACCTGACGCTTCCTAAGAGTATTAGTGGCGGTGGGGTGAGTGGGGGCGAGGAGGTTGTGGGAGAGGTTGATGCTGGTCAAGTGGAGACTGGAAAAGAGGCTGGTGGGCAGCCTCTCCAGATGTCTGCCTGACAAGTCCACTTCCGCCCGCCTGTACGTCTCGACTCCTGCTGCTGCTGCTGCTGCTCCCACAGTCTGCTGGGGAGATAAGCAAAACTTAAAAAAATGTAGAGACGAAGAGGAAACACAACATAAAAACACATATATAATGAGAGCATATGGGTTTATCTTACGGTACACGTTTGCTCCTTGGGCACGAGTCGTTCTTATCTCGCACCTACTCCACTCTATTGACTTCCATTTGTTATAGACTAGATCTTAACACCTTGGAATCTATTCCCATCGCTAAACGAGACTCGGCCAACTCGGGGTACACGACTCAATTGTTCATTTCTACAGGTACGCTGCTGATTATTATTATTATTATTATTAGTCTTCACACTCCACAGCCTATTCGTAATCTCATGCCATTTATCTACTAGAAGCGAAACATGGATACAGTGCAAGCAAGGATTTCAGATACTTTATCATTTGTAATAAGATGGTTTGCCATTTCATATATATAGTGTGTTTAGGTTCATCTCTAAATGGCTCAATTTTGTTAATCCAAGATGAAATACTGTAGTGTGTCCCTGTCTTTGTCCGCACACTTTGCACTAGGTGTAAAGGTGGTGTCCGTAAACAAAAAACAGGGTGGGGGGGCCAGGTGTTGCGAGGGGGCGCAGGCCCGGGACTGGCCTGGACGCTGCCAGACTGTCACCTTGGTGCGTGAGACTGACAGAGCAGCAGCAGCAGCAGCAGCAGCAGGTGAAGCGTGTAGTCTTGGGACCCTAATGATGGTGAACTATGCCTGGCCAGGGGTGAAGCCAGAGGAAACTCTGGTGGAGCTCTGTAGCGATTCAGACGTTGCAATTTGTTACGTATCTGGTTTTGGAGACCTTATATATTGTATTATACCTTATTATATTGTAAGCTATTTGTTAGGAAAGGGAGTCTGAAATAATTAATCTGTGTACTACAGTGTTGTCGATAGTTTTTTAATACTACCAGTATAACTTCCAGTTCCACTAGCAACGTGGATGCCCAGTTGCTGACTCTTATATTTTTCTTAATTGTGCTGCCATCGGACTGATGAACAAAAACAGCACTTCCTGCTCTCCCTGTAGCTGTGTTGAGTGGTCCGTCGCTGGATATGGTGTGTGTGATGTTTTAGTGTGTGTGTTATAGGTCCTGGGTGTTAGTCAGCTGTCACGGGCTGCTTCCTGGGGGGTGAAGGCCTGGTCGAGGACCGGGCCGCGGGGACACTAAAAAGCCCCGAAATCATCTCAAGATTACCTCAAGATAGGCTACTTAATTTAGCAGCAAGCTGAGCATAAGTTAGTAAGGCAGGGCCCAGGAATCGAATTTCGAATCTACTAGCCAAGAATACATGCGCGCGCGCACTGGCGTGAGTGACTGAACTAGTGTTGCAGAAGAGTCCCGGATATTAGCAATAATTTCTGTAGTACGAGGTCAGTAAACATGTTAGTATGTGTTAGAGGGAAAGATAAATACCGCTAGTCTAGAACTCTGAAGCAGATGTGATAAAACCGTGAAGCAGGGGCCACTGTACCGTACAGCCGACCACAGGTAGGCTGGTGTTCCAACCTGTCTTCCTACAAAGAACGTCGCATTTCGCTCGTAGGCGTTACATAAGGCAAACAATCGTCGTACTAGAAAATGGAAGTGGCTCGCGAAAATGACATATTGTCCCGTTTTCTGTTTTGGGTCCTCTGGTAGATTAGGCGAATACAGTTTAAATTGAACGTTTTCTTGACGTTGGGAAACAGGAGGACGGACTGGTTGAGGGGCAGGAGCTGCAGAGTCGCCAGAGGTGATGGTGGAGGTCGTTTTTTTTATTATTATTATTTTCTACCACAGACGTGGCCACACAGTTACAATGCTAACCAGCATATATACATTTTCTTCTGTCCTCCATGGACAGGGTTAGAGAAGTGTTAAACATATAGTTCAGGGGTTTATTGAACAATCAACCACAGAAGGTGAGTCGGTGCTTTTAAAATGCTAAGCTAACCTACATACGTAAATACATAGATACACAGATTTACGTATGCCCTACATAAAGTGTTCGATGTGTCTTTTACATAGTGTCATTAATGTGCATTTATGGAGGTGGAGGTCGTGGACTGGTGTGGCTACACTGTCCCAGAGTGGACCACAGATACCTTTGAACCAGTACACTCTTGTGCCCAATGAAGATGCCCCAGGGGGAAAACTCGCCCACGGTGGACGACAATGACCTCTGTGACAATGCCCTTCAGTGCCCCAAGCATCGCCCGGGGCAGAGTTATAATTAAAAAATGATATTAACAGGAGTCAAACAAAAACTGTAAAGCCGGAATTTAAAAATTAATTAAAAACAAGCTTGGCCACGTCATCTGTATCTATATAATAGAATATCTGTCAGGCCGCAGCAGGAGACCAGACGCTTGGGGCTAGCCTCACGCAACTTTACAACATGACACAAGGGGGGTGTATGAATGTCATAGACCAGTCGGCACAAAGAGATAGAGGTAGCTCAAGCTGTTTTTACCCCGTTCAGTACAACGTGTTTATACATATTTACACACACATCTCAAACAATCAACATGTTACTGAACATTCTGGTTGACACACATTTCTTGCTGTACACATGAAGTATGGTGCCGAACGTACACCTCTTTTATGACTACGTACGCAGACATTAGTAACAATAAAGAGACTACAAACAGACATTCAGGCAAATCAAGAAGGATTACAATCTTGGTACAAAATTCTGAGACCTCAGCAAACTATCATCAATCTTTCCGTTGCGACACATCAAGGCTATTGGTTCAGGAACAGTTCTTATCTCGGTGTTCCTATATACAGCCATCAGCGGCCAATCAAGACCATAATAGAGCAGAGTGTGAGACCTAAACATACAGCACAGTTTACACTTAGGTTCCATTAGAGGAAGACACTGCCAAGGTGGAGATCATGTAAAGTGAAGTTGTACACTAATGTCCTCCGGATGTATACGAATACAGGTGTATACACTAATGCACAGGTGAAATTCAATAAGAATTATCTCGTGTGTAGCGAAGATGTACACTAAAAGAAATAGGGGTGTGTAGGATCCACTACTACTCACAGGATGAGTATGGGGCCCACTACCACTCACAGGATGAGTATGGGGCCCACTACCACTCACAGGATGAGTATGGGGCCCACTACCACTCACAGGATGAGTATGGGGCCCACTACCACTCACAGGATGAGTATGGGGCCCACTACCACTCACAGGATGAGTATGGGGCCCACTACCACTCACAGGATGAGTATGGGGCCCACTACCACTCACAGGATGAGTATGGGGCCCACTACCACTCACAGGATGAGTATGGGGCCCACTACCACTCACAGGATGAGTAAGGGGCCCACTACCAGGATGAGTATGGGGCCCACTACCACTCCCAGGATGAGTATGGGGCCCACTACCACTCACAGAATGGGTATGGGGCCCACTACCACTCACAGGATGAGTATGGGGCCCACTACCACTCACAGGATGAGTATGGGGCCCACTACCACTCACAGGATGAGTATGGGGCCCACTACCACTCACAGGATGAGTATGGGGCCCACTACCACTCACAGGATGAGTATGGGACCCACTACCACTCACAGGACAAGTATGAGGGCCCAATACCACTCACAGGATGAGTATGGGACCCACTACCACTCACAGGACGAGTATGAGGGCCCACTACCACTCACAGGATGAGTATGGGACCCACTACCACTCACAGGACGAGTATGGGGCCCACTACCACTCACAGGACGAGTATGGGGCCCACTACCACTCACAGGATGAGTATGGGGGGCCACTACCACTCACAGGATGAGTATGGGGCCCACTACCACTCACAGGACGAGTATGGGGCCCACTACCACTCACAGGATGAGTATGGGTCCCACTACCACTCACAGGATGAGTATGGGGCCCACTACCACTCACAGGATGAGTATGGGGCCCACTACCACTCACAGGAAGAGTATGGGGCCCACTACCACTCACAGGATGAGTATGGGGGCCACTACCACTCACAGGATGAGTATGGGATCCAAGACATTAGCAATCACACTAAATTTCAGGATCTTGGGGGGACTTTGGAGGAAGGCCGGTGTTCACTCCGGTAACACCGGCTATTTCAACCTGTTGAAAATCCAAGAGAAAAAAATGGGACAAGAAAGTTGCTGGCCTACTTGTGGACGAGGCGTGCAACTGTTTGTTCCCAGCGAGCGAGCTCATCCCTAGAGAAAGCCACAAAAAATATACATAACAGAATAGATAATTATATAAAAAAAAGGAAAATCACAGAGAAATTAAATATTAAAACATTCAATAATTAACAATTTCAGGACAAACTTTTGTTCGATCTGCTTCTGTTTACAATTATTGAGTTTTATGATTTTTTTGTGAGGACTGGCAGGTGATCTCCGGTGACCTCCAGGAGGGCTCCTGGCAGCGCCGCCCCGTCACCCACTCGCCTCACTTCAAGGTTCACTTACCATGTTCTTAAGAATGCCATGGTAGGAGGCTCTGGCGGCGTGGCCCCGCTCTAGCTCCATCCTCGACCCCACCACTCTCTCTCCCTCTCACATAGCACAACCCTCAACAAAACACCTGCACGCTACACATGTGACTCTCTCACTGACACCTGTGTCTCGGGTATATTCCTCGGGGCGGGCGGAGTTTTCACACGGGGGCAACAGTCCTTTTAATAAAAAAATATTTTTTTTTTCCCCGCCGGGAGGTATGGAGCCAGTGTCGCCAACACTGGGGCCAGACCTTCACTGGATTACCATAAGCCGTAAGGAAGATGGCGCGCGGGCGTCACTGTTTGGAATGTACTAATTATCTCACGAAAGCGTGACACTCTCAGCCACACCCGTACCGCCCTCAGCCACACCCGTACCGCCCTCAGCCACACCCGTACCTGGTTGATGGGGTTCTGGGAGCTGTTCTACTCCCCAAGCCCTGTCCGAGGCCAGGCTTGACTTGTGAGAGTTTGGTCCACCAGGCTGTTGCTTGGAGCGGCCCGCAGGCCCAC